AAAACGCCTCCCAGCCACGATGAGGCGGTGAACCGTTGAGAGGATATCCACTACTCACACAGCATTTCCCTCGTTAAGCGTTGTTGCTTATAAAGGGTGTTCAAAAATCCAAAACTAAATTAACACAGTGAAGAAAATGATGCCACTGTAAGCATAAAACTCTACATTGAATCGCGTGGTTCTTCATTTGGCATGAAATTTGGACGATTGAACGTAAAATGACACCAAATTTTGCAAAAAAAGAGGATGGTACGCGTTGTTCTTGTATGTCATAAATTGTAGGATTTTCCTCTCATTATTACAAGTAATCAATTAAAAGAACACCTGGGAGAGATCGACTTGTGATAATAACTCTTCAATTACGCTCTCCAATTCCTTCTCGGACGGTTTTGTCTAAACAATAAATCTGCATTACTCTCCCGGAATTTATAAGAAAAAGCTCATTTGGCTGAAAATAAATTGCGAATGAAAAAGACTAGGAAAAAACAACGATAACAATAGTAACAACCTCCTGTAAGGTTTCAACTGAAGTACTCGAACTCGTGTCTGCATCGCTATCCTGAAATAAAACGTGTAATGACGGAAAAACCTTTGAAAATGGTAACGGGCTGGTACCACTTAAGTCTTACTATTCACTCCCCCTACCCATTAATGATTATTTCCGTTACAAAATGCGGATATAATGAAGTTCTCTTATAAGTGTTAGCCACCTTTGATTCCTTTCCAGACTTTTTCATCTTGTTATCGGAGTCACTTCCAGACTCAGCTTTTGAGGTCGTTTCCTTCCGAGTGTCGGACTGTTTTGCCTCAAAATAAACACATCTGTTCTTGCGTTCCGAAAACGAAAATGACGAGACGGTACCTTTCTAGGCTTCTTTGCACTGTTTCCACTCAGTGGCGCCTTCGAAGTGGATTTCTTGACGACCTCATTTTCGTCATCATCGTCTGTGGACTAAAAAGAAAGCAATTACATCGTTTTTACAGTAAGGATATATATATCTATGTTTATAGTTCTACATGGATCTCATCCTTTGATTTCTTGACGCGCTTAATTGCCGAAGGCGTTTTTGTTCCAGAAGACTTGCGTTTTTTAGCAACTCGACGAGCATGATCCACAGTTTTCATCAGGAAGACCATTATTGTTGTGACCTAATAATGCTACGTATAAGGTCAAGAGAAAACTTTAATAAATTGTAGGAAGAACGCCTACCACGGCATCTTTTGATTGACCACCACTATGAAGACCGAGTATGTTCTTTATGGTCTTCAGCTGATCCAGACTAAGCTTTTGCAGAAATGCAACTTTCTTCTTAAACTCTTGTGAATCCTCTTTAAACGCGAACCTTAACAAAGAAAAAATTCATACGATGAAATATGTTAACATAGAGTTTCAAATAGTTCCAAAAAAGAAGAAGAATGACATATAATTCATGACACTTCTTGATAGCCGCAAACAGCAAAGGAATATAAAAGTAAAACATGGAAACGAACCCTGTAAATTTGCGAATCTCTCTCTTAACGATGGACGCCTTACCAGGATGTCCATATAGTACTCTATGCATTGTTTTCAGTTCATCGGCGCTATGCTTTTTCAGCTGATCATCAACTGTAAATACTTATTACGCAACTACTATTACAAAAGCAGACCAGTAGCTGAGTGTGGGCAGCGATGTACAGCGGAGGGATTCATCTAACAGGGCCTCCCAAGCTGAGGAGTCCGGCGTTTCCATCAGGAAACCGAGCTAAGAATAAACTAATAGCAGGATGCGTCACCGCCCTGGTACTAAACTAGTCGCACGGTGGCAAATTTCCCTTTAACCCACACGGGCGGTGACTGCCTGGGGGGTGGCGAACTGGGGCAGACTTTGGCCTGGGTGACCTCTGGACTCCAGGGAACCACATTAACTAATCCAGCAAAACTACGAAAAAAAGAAGATTATGCTGGGGCCCGCGCAACCATTGAGGATGGGCCATCCAAGCATTCAAATAAAAATATATACATATATATATATATATATACATACATATACGTAGAAGTTTTTCATGCCAATTTGAACCTCATGCAATGTTGAATACAAGCCCAAATCAAGCAAAGTAATGGAAATTCATACTGTATGCTATTTCTCCGAGGGGAACACCATCACCCATTTGCACAGAAGCAGGTTTCTTAACTGTCGGAGTGGCAATAGAAATCCTATCGACTTTATAACGCTCGCGCTTGCCTTCTACTTCCAACGGCAAGTCATATATACCTAAAAAGCATGAAAAATAACGACTATGTAGAAATGTCTCCTCTACGATAAACAACTGCGAAACATTCAGTAAGTGTGGTGAACTACCTTTCTTCTTCTCCTTTTCGTATTCTTTTTCGTCGTTTTCTTCATCTTCTCCTTCAGCCTCCCCGTCATCCTTTATCTCAATTTCTCCACCTTTCATAATTTTTTCAGGGGCAACGTCCACATTGGAACCCACTGTATCGGTTGGTTTTGTGGAAGACATTCCAGGCGTCTGCAAGTACTATATAGTCACTTTCAAGTACATGACAGCACTCAAAACAGTTCTACATCGGTCTCCGTCGCAATATATTCCTTTGTTTGCACATTCTGATCAACAGATGACTCTCCAGTTGTTTGCATATTCGTTTCCTCCTCCACATCACCCTTCGCTTCATGGGCTTCAACAAGCTTCTTCGGACTTTCCATAATAGTTACAGCTTCCTACAATGTATATAAGTATCCAGAAAAAACAGTAAAGACAAAAAACATCGACCGCATGGAAACGTTGTTCAGTTACTTGCTAGGCATAATTCAGTCGTTTTCATATTTATGAAAAGTACTCCGCTACTGACACATAAGGCTCGGAGTCTGAAGTCTTGGTCGGGGTAGAACTAAGTGACTAAGAATACTTCCTACTGTATATCTTAAATAGGCATACACTTCAATCGATTGGTTATTGATTGAAACCAAGAGGACTAGACTCTAACGATCTTTTCCAACAAAATGGACTTCTCATGCTACTAAACCTTGACCTCCTGGATCCAATAACCGTTTCCTTTTCTCGTTGATATTTGAACCCTCGACAGTGGACGAAACGAACAAGGAGAACTCTGCCTATCAGTTAACTATGGTAACTACCACTGTGCTACTGCTTGCTGTCGCAACGCTCCAATGTTCGGGCATCGCTCTCCTCTTTGAATTTTAAACATCTAGTTCCCATGACCGATTTCCTATTAACCTAGGCATTGGTCAAATAATTCTTTATAGCCTGGCTGAGCAAACACAAGTTGTTACTTCATTCTTCATTCCGATGAAGCCAAACACCTCCATAACTAAACAGAAAAAATGCTAAGCCAAGATTTCAATCACACTGAACACAGAGGAGCTCCTTCAAACACTCCCTGCTTTCACCCCGTGCTTGCTCAACAAGAATATAAAGAAGTAAGCATCTAAATTGAAGATGTTTTAAAAAACTTTGCCACGTCCTTATAACGAACGAAAAAACTCCCTTCGACACTACCTGAGCCGCTCAACTAACTTCATGAATAGAAAAGAGGCACAGAATCATGCAAAATGCCTACAGCTGTTGTCCAAAGCGCACGTCAACGAAAATTAGCGTCTTGATACCTGTATCGATTCCCATTCCACTTGATATCAAACCAAAATTGTAGTGAACCAAGAAAAGTGCAGGTAACAGCATTAGACCTGCTGGGTCATTAGCCGAACCACTAGCATGGTCAAAACAGATGAAGCGTAATACATTTTCGAATGTCTTCTACCAGACGCGCACAATCTAGTTTTTTAGTAGAGAAATTCGACAATAGAACACATTGGAACTCACCGTCTCCTCATTACTGTCTACAAGAAGTATGTTGTTAGTGGTGTTCTGCAGCAACGCCATCGCCGGACGGAAAAATAACACCAACCGTGCCCTGACCCTCAAAGCCACAACGCCGCGAGTTCCCGCGCAAACTGGCGTGATTACTGCGGATGCGGTGCATACATCAACTTCAAATGTTTACTTGTCGACTTTATGGTTTACTATTCTATATTTTGATTTGCTAGACCCGACGACTCCGTTCTATTATATAAGGATTAAAGGATAAAGCTCTCGATGTTGATGAATCCCTGAGGGATGCGCCATGTATTCGACTTCATTAAACATTGTTTGGAGCCGATTGAATCCATATCTGGCCTCTACAATGGCTTGCGGTGGCCTGCCAAGTCTGGTACCAATTTGCCGACCCCGGAAAGATGGATGGCTTAGTGGGCCTGGAGAGTGGGGATCGATTACATGTGTATTGCAGGGTGCATCCGACCACTGCGCCACACGCGCTTTTCTGTTGTATATGCATTTGTAAACAGCAGAACAAACCTCTACTGAAAAAGTGCCTGACATATCTCGGACGCAAGCCGAATTAAAACCAACGAATAATTGCTAATAAAAGTGTTTATTCATAAATTGCTTGAAAGGGAAACGTGTGCAATCGGAAAACAAAGAAAAGGGAGAAAGTCAGCAAAGCGAAGCAAAAGGCAATTTGTTTGCTGCGAACGTAACTGCTCCTAAAAGGACGGGGCATGGCGACAGCGACATGCCATTCTGAACAAACTCACTTAGATAACTTCTAAAAATGTAATCTGAATAACATACATGGAGCCTTTCAACTAGCATATACCGGTACCGGTGTGCTCATAAAGAATAAGCCGTAAAGGATTTCACTTAATAGTTTGTAAGAAACGGTGCAGTGTCGAGCACAATCTTTCGGTTTGAATGTTCCTGAATGACTACCTCAAAGAAAAGCACCTAAAGGAGATGGGCTTGAACAGCCGAAAAGAAACGAAGAGAGCGACAATCGCCCGAAATATGCTACTAGACCCACTATAAATTTTAATATACAATTGAAAAAATTCATCTCAAATAGAACTTCTTGACACACCTTCAGAATCTAATGCAATATGATGAAGAAAGAAAAACAAAGAAAGACACGAAACTTTACTAATCGACTAAAGAATAGTGCAACTCCATCCACTGAATAGACCCTTTTTTGATTGACTCTGACCACCGATATTGACTCGACCTGAAAAGAAATGAAGAAGTTCGTCTTTTTTTTTTGCTAAGAAACAAGAATAACAAATATGGTAAAGTTGGAAAGACCCTCTACCACCTCGTTCTCCGAGGACTATGAAACCAGGTCAAATCAAAAAACTTTGCACAGGCTTATTTTCTATCTATAGAGTACGAAGAAACGGAAGGGTAACCTTTTAGGTGCCTTGAAGAATCCAGTTCAGCGCTAAACTATCAGAAAAGGTTGAAAGAATGACGGTCAATTCAATCCATCTTTAGGAAGGAAAAAAATGTCTGCTTATCAAATTTTATATGTATGCATGAATATATATATATATATACACATATATATATATATATGTATATATATACAAATATACAAAAAATATATATATATACAAACATACACATGTGTAAATGTGCAGGCATACACGTATACATGGACATATATATATGTATATATATGTATATATATATATGCAGATTCCAGTGATTCTTGCATTTCATTCGCTTCCTTACATCCATCACCCACGAAAACCGCCAAACTTCTGTATGTCGGTTGGGCTGGGCTGCTGCCCGAGGAATGTTCGTCTTCGTTCTATGTCTTGTCTTGCTGGCAAAATTGATTTTCCTTAAAGTCCTGGGAAAGTCGTATTTGAACTTTTCCATGTAGACTGGAGGAAATTAGCTGATCTTATACAAGCATGGAACTCGTTTCGGCCTCATAGGAATGGGAAACCTGAGGAACTTGGTGCGAGGTCGAACTAGTGCCTTGCTCATACTGGGTGGTATCCTACTAATACGATATACCCCTCTAAACATATGTTTCTGTTATATATGCGTATATATTCATTTGTACATTATAACAAGAAGACAGTAGCAACGTATTTCGAACCATATGAAATACAAAACAGAGTAAACAAAGTAAAGTAATAGATCTACCTGATTGTGAGACAGCATGGGGTTGTCCACGCTCCATCTTGCTTTTGATATCTCTGGCAAGACTGAAAAATGCTTCCTCTACATTGAGATTTGCCTTCGCAGAGGTTTCCATGAATTTTGTACCATACTCAATCGCTAGCTGAAATGCATAAACATGACATAAAGTATAAACGATAAGGCTCTCGGCGTTTATCAATCTCTGGGGAATGCGCTATGCAATCGACTTCACTAAGCATAGTTGGAGGCAACTGAATGCATATTTGGCCTCTAAAATGACTCGCGGTGGCCTACCGATGTATCGAGTCAATGCTGGCATCAAGACAGGTCTAGTAGCAATTTACCGACCCCGGGAGTATGGAAGACTTGGTGAGCTTAGGGCACGGGGATCAACCCCACGTGTACTGCAGGACGCCTCCGACCACTGCGCTACACGCACCTCATTAACGTGGCAACAAGAAACAAAAGTGGGATTCATTTTCTATTGAACTACGTTAGTAATCCAATGAATGAACTCCACATCGATAGGACAGGTGAGGTTCAATCAATACTTTACAAAACATAATATTCGAAAATATACGTTTGGATGATCGATAGGTAAGTAAACACTGCACACCTGTTGACCTCGCTCTCTCGAGACTTGACGTTTATCTTCGGCATCACATTTGTTCCCGATAATCATCCTCTCCACATCCTAAAACTGGGAGTACGAAACCGTTATTTCAGCAGATCTTTCTAATTTGGAAAGGACAAAGAAAGCTAACAAACTTGAGATGCATGCTCCTCGATATTTCGTATCCAGTTTTTTATGTTATCAAAGGACTTCTCATTAGTGATATCATAGACTAACATGATGCCCTAAACACTTCCAACATGTGTAAGTGAAGAGCAGGTGAGAGCTTTAACACAAAAAACAATTACCATGGCGCCACGATAATAGGCAGTAGTGATTGTTCGGAAGCGTTCCTGACCAGCAGTATCCCTAAAACGAATTGCTGAATGGAAGAACGACAACACTCATTTCGGGAAACCATCCAGAAACCAAAACCGCCTCCCTACGTTGCACTTCAAAAGACCCCCCTACTTGGTTGCTGAGATACCTGGATGGCCCGTCTTCACTAGTTGTGCAGGTCCGAGCAAAATTTCCATTTTTCAAAGCCTTGCTGATTTAGTCATTGTAGTCGCTGGAAACCCGAGCCTAGCCAGAGTCTGCCCCAGGTCGTCACCACCATAAGTAGTCGCCGCTTTCGTGGATCAGGAGATTTGCCACCATGCGACTAGTTCGGTACCAGGACGGTGGTGGATCATAATACTGGTTAACATTTACCTGGGCTTCCTTATGGAAACGCGGGACTTCTTCTCAGCTTGGGAGGCCCTGCCGGTAGGATGAATCCCAACGCCGTACATCGCGGCCCGACACCCAGGAACACTTCCCATCCACGACGAAAACGACGAGAAGGAAAACAGTTGGGAGGGACCTCTCTACTAGTACAAATATATTCCTGAACAAGTAGACACTAAGAGTAGTTGTTACAAACCAAATCTGTAGCTTGATCTTCTTCCCATCCAGATCAATAGTTCGAATTTTAAAGTCGATTCCTGGAAAACCGTGGACATATCACGAACAATTCAAAACGTTAAAAGCAGAACTCACCTATTGTCGAGATAAACGAGTTGTTGAACGAATCATCAGAAAACCGAAACAGCACGCAAGTCTTTCCAACCCCACTATCGCCAATGAGAAGCAGCTCAAAAAATAAACAAATTAACAGTATAAGTATAGTATAACAATAGCATGCCTAAAAAACAATTAAGGGGTCAAAATTCACCCAAAAGTGACGAGTTGGAGAACGAACAGTAGACAGATATTAAACAAGAATGTTAAATGAAGGCGATCCAAGCGAAAGTCTCTGCACCAACCTTGAATAGATAGTCATAGGTCTTAGCCATTTCGCTGCTTCCACGACTGGAATCCTAAAGTGTCAGAAGAGCACTACAACGAAAGAGTCACAGAAACCGAACGCCACAGGTTTCGAACGACGGTGCCAAAAAGTAAAGAAGACTCTACGAAAGTTGGCCGCCCGCCAACGTGCGTCGTCGCGCGACCCGCCGAACGCCGCAACGCGGCCGGTCCCGCCGCAGGTGCGCGCGGAGGGCCGGCGGAACGGCACCGTTCGTCTCACATCCTCATGTGCTCCTAGGCTTTGCGAGGAACGCAGGACAGGGTAGTTCTACAGAACGAAGAAATAGTGTTGACGTGACGATATTGAGGATCTCCTTTGAACAACTCGGTGAGGAAAAGCGCGCTGTTGCCAACGGAGTGAAGGTGTCCGTCGTTTGAGGTACGAAGCTCTTCGAATGTCGTTCTCTACTTATTCTTGCGAGTCGTTTCGTCCAGTTGGCGCGACGTTGAGTTCCTCTCTTCGACACCTGAGTGCGGAGATCTCTACTTCGAAGGGAGGACTAAGCCTTTCCTTTGTACTAATGACTTACTCTCATTTTCCGTATATGAACTTATGATAATACGGTCGTTGTTCTCCTTACATATAGCTTGTCTTACTTCCATGTAGGCTTTCATATGTTTTTGTATCCGTACAGGCTCGGGAGAGTTGACGAAGCTTGTTGTTCGACGAGTTCGTGCCGAATCCGTACTGATTTCATTCAGCTGTTTCCCTTTTAAATCCGAGAAACGTGGTTGCTTCACTTAAAATCCAGTAACTCCTTAAACGGAATGTGTTTGGTACCAAAATTGAGCTGTCTGGGTCATATCAGACATTTCATATGCCATATTATCAAGCCTACTTCCCTTTAACCTCGCCATGACTAATCGATATGTATTCTCTCTTTGATAAGCTTACACAAGGTTGACGAGCAACTTCATTCGGCGCTAACGTCTTGACGACTTCGTCTTCATTGCTTCATTTAGGATTGTCTTCTTCAGGATTTTATATGCTTCTAAACCAAACATGGACTTCAGAGTACCTAATACTACGTGGGAATATTGCCTTGTGTTATGTCCGCCAAAGAGTTAACCGTAAGAAAAGATTAATGCTAAGTTCGTGGTCATCTATCGACCACAGTCATCAATGCACCAACTCATGTTGTTCATTTGCATTACGTTCTTCCGAGATATCTTCACGCTTTCCTCTCTGACCACATTACACTAAGTTCGCTGCAGAGAAAACAGCAGAATTACGAGATATATTTGGCTCCAAAGATGTGCTTACTGGACGGATTTACTGAGCTGTTGGCTATCGGCCGGATTCGTGGCTGTTTGTGCGCGTGGTGTAATTACGTACCGGACTTCCACGGCCACGATATGCATGAGCTGTCGCATGACTGAAGAAGCTGACCAAATGGAAGCCCTTTCCAAATTGTAGTTCCTTTCTTCCGCTCCGTATTCTCAACGTGTATCGACTATCTACCTCCCTTCATATGTTTCTCTTTTGTTGCCAATCTGCTCAAATGAATGTGTGATGTTGCAGTTATGGGAGTAGCAACTAGTAGGGACAATGACGAGCTGACGGACAACTTAGTAAAGCACGGCCAAATCGTCACGAGAAGAGTAGAGCTTGCCTTCAGGTTAGTTAGCGTTCGTAGTTCAATGACCATCACCTGTTAGATATCGCATGCAATGTTAATGGTATTTCCAGGCTTGTGGACAGAGGTCGATTTTTCCCAACTGACTATGCGGATGAAGCATATCGTGATAATCCTTTCAAGGTATGATTCTTACTTCGTAGGATAAAAAGGATAAAGCTCTCGACGTTGATCAATCCTTGAAGGATCCAGCTTGTATTCTACTTCATTAAGCATAGTTGGAGGTGATTGAATGCATATCTGGCCTTTATAATGATTCTCGGTGGCCTTCCAATGTATCAAGCCGGTTCTGCTATCCACCCTGACAAGTCTGGAACAATTTACCGACCTCGGAGGGATGGAGGACTTGGTGGCCCTGGGGTGCGGGATCGATGCAATGTGTATTGCAGGGTGCCCCCGACCTTTGCGCAACCTGCGCCCTTCATAAGAAGGTTATTCCAAACCACTCTATGTAAGTGGAGGGTGGGAAGTTTCGTCGGATCAGAAATCCAGTTGGGTGGTCTACATATTCGGTAGTCACGACGCCATAGTTTCATTTGATTCTGTCTCTTATTATACTTTAATCATGACCAAATAAATGAGCACTCAAAACAGTAGTTTTTATCTAAGGTAGCTATCGTTCACCCATTATTGTAGAGCATTGGCTGATGTGCACAAAGTGGTTTTGGGAGCAGCTTCTTTGATTAGATATTAGATTTGATTAGATATATTTTCCTTCTTTCTTGTAGTTTTGAAGACTCTAAAGGTTTTTGCTTCTGAACTTAAAACTTTGCTGTTCATATGTTCATGCTGAATATCTGCCACGTTTTTAACATATCGGGAGTAAAATGTCAATAAGCAGAAATTGATTGCAAGCTGCAGCCCAGAAACCATAGTTAGGGTATTAAGTTCCCGTAGAACGGTTTAATTCTTCTTCACTGAGATACAGTACAATTCACCTACACCGTGTTAGCTTGTGGGATATGCAGAGACAAGTGATTTATCGACAGGTACCCGCTGAGGTAAGCTCGCAATGGACGCCCGGGAAGCTTCATATCTCAGCACCAAGCATGTATGCCACTGTTTTAGAAAAGCTTGACTTACAAACTGGTCATGCTTTTCTCAATGTGGGATCCGGTACTGGATGGCTGAACACTGCTGCTGGTTTTTTGATTGGTTAGTCTCCATAATAAGTTTGTTTTTTCTGAGTTTAAAAAAATCCACTTCCCTCTAATTTTCATAGTTTGGTCTCAGCGTGGCCACAATGGAACTCGATGTCAAAGTGTTCTTTATGCTTTGAACCTTTGCTTTGGCAGACCGGGAACGCAAATTATTTGTCTAGTGTTTTCCTATGTTTAGAAATGATATTACCTTCATACCTTTACACTACGATTTATATCTGCAAATTAAATGGGTACATTCTAATTCTATCGATGGTGGAGTAATCAGTGATTTCTGATGTGTAGATTGTTAGATACTGGAGATACTTAGGATAGAGGAAAAGATGTTTTGCAAGGCAATGAAATAAAGAACTTAAGGCGACTCTGGAGTCAATCACGGAGTCGAGATACACGATAATCTCATCAAGTTTGCTGAGGAGAGGCTTGCAGAAACAATTAAGCGTCCTGAAATCGGCGCATTCAATTGGGCTAAGCCTTCGTGAGCTTCCGACTTTTGTTCTTTTAATAACCTGAACCGTAGACCATAGACTGTAGTTTCCAATCTTATCCATGTATTTATGTCAGACATGAGCCATGATAGTTTCAGATTTTTCCACTGTAATGGTCTTGCACAAGAGGTTTCTAGTGTAGCACAGCTATATGACCGAGTCTATTGCGGTGCCGCCGTAACGGATGAAAATACTGTCAATCGGCTGATCCGATTGCTACAGATTGGCGGAAAACTCATTCTTCCATTTAGAAATAGCGTGAGCTCCTTCGCAGTGGATTTTTAAACATTCTTCCACTTGCTTCTGTGGTTCCAGCTAATGGCCTACACGCGTACGGGAGACAACGCATTTATATCAGAAACCCTCATGGCTTGTCAATTTGCTGATCTGCTTCCACCTACACCGGATGATCGTCGTGACTGTTTGCCTTGTCTCGTACGGTGAGAATTTGGCGTCTTTCATTTTCTGGAAAGCAATGTTTTACCATTTCATGGTGATTCAGGCCCTCTTCCCTCGCGGACTTGTGTAGAAGTGTGATTCGAGAGACTTTGCGAGCGAAGGTCTCGAAAGACTACCCCGTTTTTATGCGGAGCATTGTCGACGACATTAATGCTGGGAGGCATGTCTGTCACGTTCATATATGAGCCTTGATTATCTGTCGTGGACTTGCTACGGCAAAGTGCTTTCTTATATCGTGGTGGCTAGACAAATGTGGATTAGATCTTTGTTGACCTTTCTCTACTGATTTGAAACTCATCATCTTCGATTTAAATGCGCGTTTCTTGTTTCCCTCTTTTTTATGAGACCATTTCAATCTCCATTTTCACATCTCGTGGAAATGTTGAAGTTATTTCATTTCAGAACTAAGAATTCTTACAATATATTTACAATTTAGAGCATCAGTGCACCCCGATAGTGATGTCGAGATGTCTGAAGACCAACGTCGTGAAAATCTCAACATCATTCGTCGTCCAATACGTGTAGAGTTGCTTCGAAACCTTGGAGCAGCTAGAATCCGATTAGAAGGATTTGATCAGACAGGGTATGAGATGCCTGCTTAATCGCATTAAACGTTTTTACATCCTTGGTATTGCTATTTGGCGTTCGCTATATTAGGTCTCACAGTTGCTGTACAATATCTAGTGTACAATAGTACAACCACAACTACTTAACAGTATTGTTGACTACGTAGTCTACCATCCACCCTTTGTAAGATATTCTGTGGAGAGAAAAGTGACTTAAACTGAAGGGTTCAAACGTAAGGTAGCAATTTGTATACACGTAGACCAAAACATTTTCTCTAACAGAAATCGAGACATACATTCGCGCGAAATTCTATCAGTTCAAGTAGAAGATCAGGAGGGAAGGTTTGAACCCAGACATGGTGAAGAGGATCGTGATGCTGACATTAGAACAGGGATGTTCGTCTTCGCCGACGAAGGCCCTCCGTCCGATGATGAAGAGCTAGGTGAAGAAAACAGGTACGTAAATTCTTTGCATCATATCGTAGATTAGCATGGCCCACTTTTTTACATTCGTCAGTACAAAAATAGTGGTTCACAAAATTCGACGACTTTCTTCTTAGCTCATTATGGGTGAGACATTTAGAAAGCAGCTTTTCCTAAAGTTTATTTTTAGTCTTAGCAGTTACACTTCTCCGAAGCTATCAAACCAAGATTCTTCGGTCACCACATAATTCTCTTCATATTCTGTTCGTTTTATAAGCATGACGCTCAAACATAACGCTAGTAGATCATGTTAGATCAAATTGTATGCTGCACTGTTGTTTTACCGTAAATTAAACAAAGTTTTCAGAATGGGCTTACAATGGATAAATGCCATTCTGGGCTTCGAACGCGAAATTCAAGATTATCGTAACTATGAGCGTGCACAGTCTGATTCGCCTACCGACGACTCCTCAAGCGAAGCTTCTTTGAATGAAGAGCCATTTGATATCGTTGATAGTAAGCCAATTAGGCAAAGAAGCAACGGTTCTGGTCATCAAGATGAGGCGAATTCTTTAAATGGAAATACATCGCCGGATGATCCTTCTCTTCCTGTTGTATTTGGTGTTGAAGACGTCGAAGTAAGAAAATGTGGTCTAATTGATCAAGAAAACTTTTGTTTACTCCCAATTCATATCTGCTGCTCAAAATTACTATCATGTGAACTTTTTTAATCTAAAAACCCGTATCCATCGCGGTAGCGACAAAGTAATTTCTCAAGTAGAGGGAACCAAGTACTCCATTTAAGAAACTGTATATTTATGTATTTGTGCTGGGTTCTAACCACTTTCTGTTCCTAAAGTAACATCCAGTATTAGTCTTATACTTACTAGTAACAAATGGGATACTTCATATCATAATTGTTGAAGGAGAGAAGCCGGGACGACAACAAACAGAGGTTTGGAGTGGAGGATGATGAGGAGAACCTTTTCAGGTGATATAATGGCATAAAATTGAAGATTAAATGCAATTAAAAGTAGTTATGATTGGGTTTATCACTAGACTGAGAGTGTAAACATGAGAAGATAAGATTTGTGAAGGTTATTTCAACAAACCCCGTGACATAACTGAGAAGTTATCTCATGGTTTTACATCGTTTACAGGTGTTACACAAGTCGATTGCAAATATGTTCTGAAAACGTTATGATAACAAAGAGCTGAATATAATTAGTATGACAAGTGCACGTGATATTAAAACTTCCGACCTTTCAGCACCGCACCCACAGATGTGTCTCTGAAAAATCAGAAGACTGAATGCGGAGGTTCTGCCATTGCATTGACTAATCTTCTACAACCGTAAACATTAATCGTGTTTGTTTCTAGGGACGGAAGAAACGAATGGTGTTACAAATAACGAGACTGCAAGTGTCGGTCCATCACGACGATCAGCATCACGTCCGCTTTTGTCGCGTAGAAGTGCGAAAAAAGCACGTATAGCCGATCATGATGGTCAGGATGAGGTAAGTTGCTTCGTAATCCACTAAGCTATCTTGACAAAATCATAGTTGGTAGATTGCTACAAAATATTCTTTTTACTTCGGATATTCTAAAACACCTCTAAAAGCCATCGTTTTCTGCTAAGAAAATTGGGTATCTGCACTATCCGGGCAGTTTCTGTATCCATATCCGTATTATGTTTGGACTGAGTTATTTTCTTATAAAATCGATCACTCTAGTCAGAAAAATTGGCACAAGTCGAGCGCGACCGACAGCATGCATCACTGGGGCGTTTTGGGGATGCGTTCAATGAGGCAATATGGAAGCTTCCTCTGCCTAGACACTTGATCAAGTACCTTAAGTTACACTCTATGACACCTGTATTTGTTCCTAGCGAAGTGTCACATGGGAGCTAATTCTCATGACTTGTACATATTTCATCAACGATCAGTTTCTGGCAATGGATATAGCCATCTCCATCCTCTGGAGGCATAATTTTAATAGATGTACATGTTTACATTCGAGTTGTCCGTATACTGATATTATAAGATATTAGCAGACTAACTGTATGTTATCCGTAGATGTTCGAAAGACTTAAGAAGAGCTGTGTACCATAGCAATAAATATTAATTACAAGCTTGGATTTCCCAACTACAGTCGGTTTATACAAGAAGAATTGTACTTGCAAACATTAGTCAATATCGAAGATATCACGTGACGATATGTCAGTATGATTCACTAGGTGGGCCACTGAGAGCCAGTTTGTGCACGAGTTGAGATCTAAAGTAGCATTTGTTTTTGCTGCTATAAGCACTGGTGAAGCAGGAAAACGAAAATAGTCATGGTGGCTACCTACGAAATCTAGAATCCTTATTGACCAGCACATGCAAATCACGAATATTTACACGAACTGTCCGAGGTCGTTGTATAGTACCTGAGACTCCACCGCTGCTTGCTTGATCCCATCTGAAAAATCACCGCGATTGGAAATTGTGACGATTCAATGGTGTTTTGCAAATTTAGAAATCCGAACTTTGTACGAGTTACTTTACTCCCACTGCTCAACGCAGCTATGGCGGCAGCATTTGCATCACGATTTCGTTTCGCTTCAGCATCAGCACGCTGCATTTCCTGCAAAGCACATTAGTTATCTGCTCGTGTAATAAGTAGTTTCGTAACCAAATTGCGACTGTACTTTGTAATCAGAATGCATTTTCAAAGAAAACCGGCAAAAATCAATGTTAATTTTCTTCCCATCTCAATCTTCCATGAACATCTGAATAAAAGCACGCTTATGCAAGCAAGATTTTTGAAAATGTCATTCGATAGAAATGCGAAGCTACTAGAACTTACACAATATAAATTTCCCTTTAACTTGGTAAAAATACAAGTAAATGCATTCTTCGTATAAATTGTACGAAGCCTCACTCGAGAATAATGTCCCACTTATTATCTTCGTCAACTGGAAAAAAGACCGATTTGAGTGGTCTAGGCGGATACAAGCTCTGGCTAGCTAGGGTATACATTCATAGTTCACAATGGTCCTCTATGAGCTACTAAAGCTAATTGCACGACGAGGAATCCCAGAATCTACCGTAGCATTATCATGGAGGTGAAGAGAAAGGTCTTAATAGCGATAGTATGCCGCTACATTTGTTTAAAGATACTCGCACCATAGGAATAATGAGACTGTCGAAAGACTATCAATTACATCATTTTTGTTTTGGTGATAATACTGCTCTAACAGCAAATATCAAGCACTAGTCCTGCAGCACGAATGCTGCACGATTTCGCCGACCCTTGTGCAATAGTTGGTCTTCGGTTGAACATCCAGCAAGCACATTCGTAAGGAACGTATTCAATCTTTAGTGCAGACTTCCCATTCATCAAAACGAACTCTTCCAAATACTCCTTCCCATTGCTCACGCAGATCGTACATAGAGATGTCAAGCGCAAAACAGTAAACAAATGACCAGATGTCCACAGTTTCCATGAAAATCTCTTTAAGCGAACAGACTCTACTCTTCGGCAACCATGATGCAGGAGGCTTCGCTGTCACCACCTTAACTGAGACAATGATTAACGGGAGGATTGATCATATATGCGACAGTCTGTCAAGCATCTACACATTTAGAAGCTATCGAGAGGGCTCAAGATGAAGTGGCCAAAGCTCGTTAATTGTTCTAAAAACCCTTTTCACAACACCGGACCAGTTCTGCTGGAGAACAATCCAGTCATTTTCAGAGTAAATTTTCGACTACCCTCGCATTGATCAACAAGTTCGTCCTTCCTTCACAAGCAGATATGAAGAAATGATCACAATATTTACTCCACAATGCTAGACCAATTTTATAACGAAACGGTGAAGTTGATTCCAATGGTCTCATACTTTCGTAATCCATTGTAACCACGCGTGAACACATCCTACCTAGCTCATTACCCCATGCTGACTTTTTGACCTGACGATGAACAGTCCTCACTCATTTAAGCTGTGTGCGGCCGATTTTCCTCAATAAGTGGAAGATTTAAAAAAAGGATGTCAGAAAGACGCTACTTAACCATGTGATTAAAATGTAGGTTTTGAGTTTTCTTCTGTTAGGATTGTAGTACTTGATTATGTTAATGAACATCAATTTGACGCTTTCCAAATTATGAAGAAGGTGAATTTGGCCGAAGCAGTCATTGTGCAACAAATATTGCATTAATAACCCCGAGTCTGCCTGCAAGAGAAGAAAGTTTATCAATCCAGTAACATTAGCTAAAATTGTATTTAATGTTAGATATGTTATTAAAGGGGAGGGCGTAGCGTAGATGTTAGTGATCCAGTCGATTACGGAGGAAGGGGCTGGTTCGATCCTATCCTTCACACTCTCACCCAATCAAAGTGGGAAAACCCTAGCTTGCATGTCTTTAACATTGCAAGAAGAATCAACTCGACAAGTGTTCTACGACATTCATAAAGAAGATGAAATCCTCAAGCAGCAGCCGAAACGACACGAGTATTGTTCAAAGGCCTTTGTGGACGATGTATGCGAGGTAAACGAATTGGTCATATAGAAAAGGAAATCCATGATGATATTGCATATAAATCTTTTGAAGATTTAGAGCTTACGAATTGCTATTAAGATCACTGTGAATGAAATAACCACTTCAATTTAAACTTAGTAATTTATCACGGTCAAAATCAGTATACCTTAGCTCGTTCTATAGTATCTTTTGCGATACCCTTGCTTTTGCTCATACGTATCAACGCCTCTTTCTCACGATTTTCTCTCTGTTCCTCCTGTTGCCTATCTATATCCTCAAGAAAACGTAATTGACGTCGCGTGTCATCAATCGGTGCATAGTTGGAATTCAGTCTGATAAAATAGCATTAAATGTACTTGAAGGAAAACTAATGCGAACAATTCTTGATAGTGAACAAACCTTAAAGGTTCTATTCGATGTTCGGCAAGAATAGCAAGTTCTCCGATTAGTTCACGAAGCCGATATTCAGCTGCATCCGAAATGAGAACAAGCACCTATGGAAACGCAAACTAGGAAAAGAATGGTCTTAAAGTACAAAATAATGCATACCTCTTCATCCACGTAGCACATTTCATTCATGCACTGAGTGATTCTACTCATAATATCGGGAGCACGTAGAAATGCGCTCTCCAAAGCACCCTCTTGCAGTTGTCGAACTTGAATCATCTGAAAATCACATAAAATCCATCGAGTTACTACGGCAGGCGTCAATTTCAATTTCTAAACAATGTAAACAAAACAAATTCTCACCTCCTCATCGGTTTGTTGAAGTACATTGTCTTCCATCGGCTCTCCAGTAATAGACGAGTCAGCACGGTCCATAAGTGTACCCTGGAATTATCACAAAATCAAAAGAGAGCTCCACTGGAGTAGATCTAAACATAGAACTACTATCGTGTCATACCCCACTACAGTTCCTCCTACACTTTACGAAGAAAAAGGTGATGTGCAGTACCTGGTCAATATGTTCCCGAATAGGTACTGACACCACGCTAACAGAACCAGAAGTAGGTGCATAAATCATCCCCTGTGATGCTGGTGGACGCTCGGAAACCAGATGCTGCTGTTGACCTAACTGGATCTGTTGCGCTACAATCGGTACATGTTGATGCTGAGAATGTGACAGAATGACTTGCTGTGGTTGTTGCACTGCCATTTGTTGCTGATGAGGAAGCATTTGAATGTGCTGCTGATCCACTTGCGCAGGAGGGTCATGCATCGAATAATGAGGCTGCTGAGGTATGACTTGTACCTAGAATAAGCACAAAAATATAATGTTAACACACAAGTCTTAGAACAAACTACCTGGATGGGCTGTGTATGACTATGTTGCGTGGTCGACGAAGGCTGCTGCTGCGCAGTGAGAATATGTTGCTGAGGTTGGACCTGCACATGCATGGACTGCTGAGGTGAAACTGCTTCGATCTGCTGTGAGGTTGGCACCATTACACCAGGTGGAGGAACCACACCTTCGATTGTGACTTCACCTGAGGATTTCAACAATAACACTCAGTTTAGACCAAAATATTGAATAACAGTGGTCTATGAAGTAACGCCACTTAACCCCAGAAAACAGGATTCTAACAAACGGACCTCAGCGTGCAACTGCTACGTTTGTCAAGAGAAAAATAATCATCAGTACACGTTAAATCCAGAAATATTCTTTCAATATCACCAATATAACAGTTGGATGTAGAACACACAGAAGTGTTTAGGAATCGTAAAAAATGAGCCATTCAGGCATGATGAACCAACGAAATAAACGACCTAATTATGGATTTCCTTTATCTCAACCACACAGGAACCCACTTCTAACTATTGCCGTTTCGATGGATATCATATTAGTATGATAATTAAGTTTCCATATTGAATCTCACTAGTCTAGCAGAATAGTAAGATTTTATTACAAAACATCTACTTCTCCGTATTGAGACAAAAACCATTCTTTCCGCTTTCTTTCTAATCTCATATATTAAAGAGTGAACAAATTAAACTTCCATCCTCAACTCCTCAAATTCATTATCGAAAAATATATAGGAGCCGATCAAAAACGGACCCCATTCAACACGAAAAAATTAGGTGCCCCCGCTAATGTGTTAAAGTTTAACGGTACCTACTTATTTACTTGGATATTTGGATGGCCCGTCTTCACTGCTCGTGCGGGCCCCAACATGACTTACAGTTTTTCGGAGCTTTGCTGACTTAGTTATCGTAGTTCCAGGGAGTCCAGCGGTGAGTCTACCCAAAATCTGTCTCATGTCGTCACCACCATAGGCAATCTACCACCATGCGACTAGTTTGATACTAAGACGGTGGTGGATGCTGGTACTACTTTACCCTTAGCTGGGGTTCTTAATGGAAACGCCGGACTCCTTCTCAGCTTGCGAAACCATGTCTGGTGATGAGTCTCTGTACATCGCAGACCAACACCCAGGAACACTTCCTAGCCACGATGAGGCGGCATACCGTTGGGAGGAAGTTTAACAGTACATTTAGTAAAGTACTTACTAGTCTTCTGACATATCTATGTTCAAAAAGTATCTACTGGCTTTGATGCAATTACGCTCTACGATCCATAGGACTATGATAAGCAAATATTACTATCAACAAAATAAGAAACATGAGAATTACCATTTCTCATGGCAGCACGAAGATAAGGCAATGTTTTGTGAAGGAACGGAAGTAGGTGAGGCTGAGCCTGCGATTTCAAAGCGCTTTGCAATCGAGTGGTGAACTCTTCAGCTGGCATTTGTCCAAAAACCAAGGTCTAAATTCTATTGAACTGAGAAAATAAAACGTTTGAAAAATTGAATCGGTAGGATCAGGTTGATAAAACGTATACTCGGCATGTCATAGAAATTTTCTCCCACAAAAGTTTAGTATACAAGGCAATTACACTACGCGAAAGGTGAGAAGTAAGACCTTAACGGTTTTTTCAGTTTTAAAACCTAGCATAATTTAAATGTAAATCATAATGGAAGCAAAAAAAAGACCAAAATTCTTACGCTGACAAGCTCCTTGACCAAGTGCGCAGTTTGATGGGGATTTTGCGATGGCTGTTGCTGTTCAGGTTGTTGAGATAGTTGTATCAACGTCTTGAAGAAGCGAACGCACTTAGTGACCATACCCTGACTATCACTTGTTGAAAGCGTTTGAGGAGTGTTCGACTGAGAAATCTGTGGTTGACTCATCTGTCCCGCTTTACCAGTACCAGGAGTGACTGGTGCTGAAATGTAAAGTAACTCAACATGGTATTTCACTGGATTTCTGTCAATTCAGGACTACAAAACCCACATGTGAATTCTTACCATGCAGCTCTACTAATGATGAACCAAGTTTTCAAAAAAGTTGTGCTATGAGGAATCTAGACTGCTACAGAAAGAAGTTGAGAATGGAACTGAGGCTAACCGCACTGCTACGTGGTCTTTGTAAAGGGGCTACTTATGGTACGGCATTACTCTCACCTGCGCTTCTGAGTGAAGGTGTCGAACACCTCCTCAACATATATGATTTTGCTTGAGATAAACCCCCTGCAGTGCAACCATTCTGACATCCAAAGAACCCTTTGCTAAAGCTCAAGAGGAAATGAACGACATTTTTTGTCGTCATAGGGCTAAGAATGTGTATGGGAAACAAATAATATGAATGGGAAAACCAGAATCACAAAGAAATCGAATTCAAAGGCATCTTGATAAGTAAAAAAGTAACAGAAGCACAAACTTTGAGTTGTTTGGATAACTATCTGTGGTTGCGCTTGCAGAGGTTGAGGATGCTGTGAATGCTGCATGTGTATCGTCGAAGACGACATCATCTGAAACCATACCGAGATGAAATATGCTTCAGCTTACAACCATAATGTTGCTGAGATCTTTGCAAAACTTCGGACCGCAGGTGTCTGCGGTAGGGAACCAATCATTGTTACCCTTTTAGGGGGCTAACGCGTTCATTACCACACCATGCGGGTCCGTCGCTTCGCCTGTCTCTCAACTAATTCCAGGATATCTCAGAATCATTATGGCTCTATCTCAGCATCACTGTGGTTGTATTTCACGTAATTCCTTACCATAAAAAAATAGTAGGCGGTAAGTAGAAAGTAAAAAAGAAAGACGCCGTGACGCGATATATATATATATATATATATATATATATATATATATGTACATATACTTACTTGGAGGTTCGGACAGTCCGTCGTCACTTTTTGTGCGGGCTCCAACATAATCTCCAAATGTACATGAGTTTTGCTGCTTAAGTTAGGCCATTATGGTTCTCTGGAACCCCTAGGTGAGCCTGGCCAAGGTCTGCCCCAAGTCGCCACCACCACAGGCAGTCGCCGCACTTGTGGTCCAGAGGGAGATTTGCTACCATGCGACTTTGATATCAGGACGGTGTTGGATCCTGGTACTGGTTTATTCTTAGCTGGGCTTCCTGATGGAAACGCCGTATTCCTTCTCAGCTAAGGAGACCGACATCCAAGAACACCTGCCAGCCACGATGAGGCGGTAAACCGTTGGGAAGTTTCAATATATCGGGAAGTAAAATGTCGGTAAGTACAAAATGGTTGCAAGCTACAGCTCAGAAACTGCATTTAAGGTATTACACATATGTATATACACATTTACAACGGTTCTAAGCAATTTTATAAATAATTTTCATGGTAAGCAGACACTGTCATAGGTACCGATGTATAGGCAAAAAAGGTGATAAAGGACAAAAAAAACTGACCGGAGAAGGTTTGAGCTCCTGCGGCAGCGGTGAACTGCCCGTTCCTGATGACGGTCGCTCACCCAAACTGCGACCAGCCACAATCCGAAACTTCGGCCCTCCAGAAGATGTGGGAGGATCCGTCATTGGCTTTCATGTAGAAAACAAAACTTGGAAAAAAAATGAGCTAAGAAAAAGGCGACCATGTGTTTAGAATAAGAGACAAGACGGGAAACTTATGTTCACCTTAATCAGTTTGTCTTTCCTGCTACATTTTTCATCCCTTTAGATCGATGTTATTTCAAATGAAACACTTATCTCAGACTTGCTACACAAAAATGTCAGAAACCAGATGGAACTAACAGCTTAGAAACCAATGAGTTTTCGGAATGAGAGGGCGAAGAAAGTTAACTTTTCAAGCACCAAATGCGTTACATAGGACTGCTGTAAGTTAACGGTATAGATGATCGCAATAATCATGAGTATATAAGCCATAAGAATCCGTATTGTCCCCAAAATTTAGTAGGAGCACTGTGCAAGCTCGCAGAAGTACTTCCGTCAAATACTACACTTCTACAGAACCTTCTGCCTTTACAAGTGCGCACTGGGAACCTCAGAACTCGGAATGGCGATGAAAGCGGAGAGCCTCGTCAACACTGCAACCAGATAGCCACATAAAATCGTCCTCTTCCGCATATAACCCTTTTTACAACAAAAGGTAGCACCCCTGAAGAAAGTCAAAAATGGCGTTTCGAATTTCTGTTGTGCAGTCGCGGACAATCCACCACCAAACGGCATGGCATTGGTCTCACGCCGTTCGCGTCCTTTAAACGAACGGTACCGTATCTGTAGCTGCACAGCATCGATTTCCTCCAGTTGTACGATGGCGCGCGGTTGGGTCATCGTCGGAGTCGTCTCGAATGTGGCCGGTATCCGTCGTATCTGACAGTATTTGGGGGTTTCTGGAGGATAGTTGGGGTTTTGTGATAGGAATTCTTTACGAATTGATGCCAATTCATTGGACGTCAGAGAGTGTCGACGTGCGCTTGTCAAATACTTCGTATAGAGCTTACGTTGTTCCACTGTACGCCATGCACTATTATTTTTGGACGTAAGTTACTAGAATTTACTTACGACATAGTGTTATTTTCAGATATGGGTGTGAAAGGTGAGTCCAGTAATCGACCAAAAGCAGTTGCAACAGCTGAACAAATGCGCTTAGCAAGACTTACTCTAGAAAGCAACTCGGCGGATGAAGATCCCGCTAACATCCAGCGATTGATAAAAAGGGTAGGGAGCTCTGACTGTGTTGGATGAATGTCATGTACCGATGATGTATTCGTCTTTAGTCTGTTTATTGCTATTTCTACAGTCGCCCGCGCGAAAACTTAAACCGCGAGATCAAGTGGTTGTTGCAGCCCTTTCCTAGCGTTAGACCTATTTTATCGTTAGTTCTGCTCATATGATAGAGCGGAAGGATTCCATCGGTGTCAAGGTCGTGTGTAGTGGCTTTACGTCTGTCGAAGGGAGGGGGTAAGCACTACTCTCTATATGTAGTTTCTTTGAGGGGAGCACTTGATGCAGTGGAGCATAAAAAGTGAGACTGCTTTTTCTTCGTAACAACTGCCTTCAGGATGCTGGAAGGGTCAAAGAATAGGGTTCCAGACGACTGGGTGGTCCTTAAACCTGCTCTTCTTCTCGGCTAACAGCGATTCTACGCTTCTGTTTCTTGTCTATCACAGCAGTTCATGACAAGGTTCAGTCGTAGCGCTGAGTTGTTTTAGTCCTTTTTACTCTCAGCGGACAAGTTTTACGAAGTATTGCGTAAGTGTTAGGGGTATCGTGTGTGTTTATCTCTGGTTCGGTTAACTCTAGTCAATAATTTACTCAAGGTAACTTCATGGTGTAGAATATATCCAGCAGCCACCACAACAGGCCTGGGGGCTGTTGGTAGAGATTGCAGTGGGAACAAGTTTCGACAAATGGTACACAGAAGTGCAATTGATCATTACTGGATAAGGCAGGGGATAGGTTTCATGCTAATTTCACTTTAATCCTTCCATTTTCAGTCTTTAGGTTAAATATTTTGGTCCAGCGTTTTGTTACAATATCCTAACATGATGTGGTTAACCTTATGTTTCCTTTTTAGAATCACTTAGAAGGTGAGGAAGTGTCTGGGTTAATTTGGGTTTTGGTCAATTTTCCAATCAGTTTTTACGTTCACTTTCAGGCTTATCGCATAAGTATCATTTTCATTCGTAGGAAGATATGGCAACCTTCCATAGTACTAACCATAATTATTGCTTATTAATGTCCTTGAAAAGTAGACGTTGAAGCTAGTGGTACGATTTTAAGATGAAGATTTTCCAGAAAAAAAGAAGAAAAATACGAGCATTGGTAATGATTTAAACCATCCATCAATTTAAGGATATGCACCGAATCGTTATCTCTACTTTTGAGATATCACCGCCAGCCGTTGACGTTACCGGAAGGCGTGGGTGGGTCTTTGGAGGAACCAGCCTACCCCATTAACAACCAGTGGATGTTTCATTTTTAGCCATGTTTTTCCCTAAAGCGTGGATATGATGTGTATTCACATGGGCCGTTTCGAGCCTGTCATCCTATTATGCTGACTTAGGTGGACTAAATGCTTTTCCTATTATAGTTATAGATAGTCACAGAGTGTGGTAGGCGTTGTAACTTAGCGTTGTTTCGTTCCTTTGCATCCTGTAGTGTAGGTGACAAATCATGGGGTGTGAAATTTTTCTAACTACATCGCCGTTTTCTCGATGAAATCGAGTTTGCTTCAGCGAATTGTTGTCAGCGATTCACAGGAGAATGTTTCCCGAGCACTCTACGACAGTGTGACCGTCATTTTTTTTTAGAGAGAAGGTCGTGTTTCGCTCAGTTTGTAGATGTACAGGAGTGTGACCCTTAGGATTGTTCGTTTAAGCTGCTAAAGGGCCAACTGTGTATGTACTGCCTATTACTGTTTAAGCGACTGGTTTCTTCAATAGAAGTGAAGGTTAGCGTCTACGTAGAAGTGCATTTAAATTACTGGTTTGTTCAGCAAATAGTTGAGGTTATCGTCATAGATACGTTCACTATAATAGGTAGTTTGTTCTTGAAACGTTTGACGAAAGATAAGCACAACATTTTGAGCTTTTATATTGAAACCGCACATCCATCGGTTACTCTTTTCTAGCATTTTATGATTTTTTCCATAATGCCTCGTATTTATTGTCCCACCCACCTGGTACTGTTTTGTTTGTTTTCTTACACGTTAATCCTGAGTCAGACTTTCCATTGATTCTGTACAAGTTCTAATACTGTTGGTCAATGTTTGCCAAATGTTACAAGCCTCTGCGCGCAGCATTTCCGAAAATCCTTTCTTCGGTCTCCAAGAGCATATTAGTTTCCTAGACTAGATGGGATTCCGCAGCCCTATCGACACAAGTTTCTGAAGATTTCGATTCTCTGATATACTGTTTTCTTCTTAAAGAACAGTAATTCTTTTTGTGGCACCACTGATCCAGCGATGCACTTTGAATTGGTAATGTTATGTGTAATAAAAGTCGATCTGGTTGTTCACTTCGTAAGATGATGATAGCTCGACCTTGTTTGATAAGTGTTGTAGCTATTAAATTTAAGAGTTATTAATCAAAACAAACTAGCTAGTTGATGTCCTATATCTCAAAAAGAATTCAGTTATTTTTAGGTTATCGAAACAACGAGGTGTACACAAGCTCGCGCTGAGCTAGCTTTGTACGACAATGACAACGATCTCGCTGCTGCCATCGACTATATTCTTGAGCATGGTTCGGAAATAGAGTCATGGACTGAGCAGAAAAGTAAAAAGGACAAGAAAAAGGAGGAGGAGGAGAAGCGACCGACGCGAGGCCAACCATCGACACGTGGTCGAGGTGGTTTTGGTGATCGTGGGGGACGTGGACGTGGTCGTGGCGATGGAACAACACCTTCGCGTGGCGCTTCTCGTTTTGGTTCCACAACCGGTCGGGAAAGGGGAACTACTGCGAATTCAGGAGGGATGCGTCCTTTGCAGTTGAAATCTTTAACTGATGATTCGGTGGCAAAATCTCTTGACAACGATTCCATCGATGACGCAACTGATTGGGTACGCACCAGTTTTGTCGGCAGTTTAGTAAGGTTTTTTTAATGTGTTCGTAGTCGTAGGTTCTCTTTTTAGAAAAGTGGTCCAATGGTATTTCATCGTACGGAAGATCATTCGAATACATTGTCAAGTTCGAATCCATCTGTGCCAGTGTCTCAGTCGTCCACCGCACCACCCACACCGATTTCGTTTGCTGCTGTTGCAGCTGCCGCTGCCAAGAAGGACTTGAAGCGACAACAAGCTCACTTAACGAATTCTGTTGCGGCTAACGAGCAACCAGCTACAACGCCTATGGAATTTCACAGTGATGGTATGGCTAGTGGTAAATCGCCAGCCATTGATCAGAATCAGCAAAAAGATGTGTTCTATAGGTTAGTAGATTTTGTGTGGAGCTTCGTGGCTGCTTTGTTTTTTCTTTTTCTATTTTACACTGGAACTTATTTTCCAACTCTGCGAACGTTTTATTTTCGACCAAACAATTGAACGATGTTATCTTAGTGGTTTGAACGTTAGTCAAGACTGTTAAGTTCGCAGGTGCAGAACGGGATGATATGTCTGATCACTCTGTCTTCGAGAGTGTCTAGGAATGAGAAATGTAAGAGAGGAGGAGACGCATAGCGCCAGATTCTTGTCGTTTCAGTGCGCGAATGTATGAAAAAAAAATTCCGCCTTCCAACATAAAGCAAGGGGATCTGTGCTCGTAAAAGTTTTAAAGCTCTCGGCGTTGATCACTCCCTGAGGGAAGCGCCATTCATCCGACTTCATTAAGCATCGTTGGAGATGATTGAACGCATATCTGTTTTTTATAATGACTCGCGGTGGCCTACTGATGTATAGAGCCGGTGCTGCTATCCTCCTAGACAACTCTGGTACCAATTCACCGACCCCGAAGGTACGGAGGAGATAATGGACCTGGTGTGTGGCAGGTCGCCTCCACGATCGCAGGGTCCATCCCACACTCCCACCTCGCTTTCTCAGCTCACACTCATAATAGTGTGAAATTAAAGTCAGTTCTAAAGGAAAGTCGTTTATAAAATTGGAGCGATATAATAAAGGACGAACTTTCTTCTCTAAGCATGTAACTTTGTGCATTATCAGAAATCCAGCATCGGACATTAGATTTTAAAGCGATTAGTCGTATTAACTATAGAATCGAAAGAGAGCGCTGTGGAATGTGTTGTCATGTAAAAGTCTCATTCAAACAATAAACCTTTTAATACACTTGCGATTCTGCACAGGATGTGAATGCCGCGTGATGGCGCAATGGGCTGCGTTTTTTTTTCGGCAGTTCATTTCATCACACAGAGCTTTTCTGTAATAGTGTTCGTATCTACATTGTTTCTACACTTAACACATGAGACCGTTCTCATTCTTCGCCAGCCATCATGCGCTTTGAAATCAATGCATTTGATCAACTTCCCTCTTCATACCAGGAAAGAGTAACTTCATGTGTTTTACTATGCTTCTTCTCCATTCTGTTTTTTCCTACATTTGTGTGGCTTTTAATTTTCTACGTATCCTGCTTAGTTTGTATCTCTCTGTGGTTTTAAACATAGTAAACTGTGTGATTAAAAAGAAATACTCGCCTACCATTCAAGTCGACCTATAGTTTTTTGAAATGTGAAAATATATTTCGATGCCTCTTCAAAGTTTTCTTTTTTTTTTGTTGTCTGCTGACTCTGTGCGATAACTCAGATTCATAGTGATTGGAAATGAAAACAATCAACCGCTCACTTCCGGTTGACTGCACATTGATATGAAGCGATAGAAGTTTTTGTGCTATCTACTTGCCAAGAGCTTGAAATTTATTGGGGGTGAGAAATGTGATGACGGTAAGGTAGTTGATGATGTGGGGCGAGCGATGAAACAGAACGGTGTCTCATGAGTGTTGATTTTTCAGCGTCACTGTCATGGTTAGTAGTCGCTTTGGAGAAGACTGAATGCTCTTCGGATGCACACAGCCAATAGATTTTTATTCATTGTTTATGGTTGATATTTGGAAGTTTCTACTAAAGGAGACTGGCAGATACGGAAAAGGGAAATATGTCATAGAACAGAAAAATCCTGATGCGTTGAAAGGACTCATTTGTCATTGCATTGAGATGGACTTTGTTAAACTACCAGAGCTGAGGGATTGTCGAAGCATCTAGCCTGTTTTAAGATCCGATCTTCTTAAGGGCAAAGTAATGACAGAGTGTATTCTTAAGACTCGGTTACTGGGTCATTTTCATTCGGTCGACAGTGATGGAGTAGTTAGGTTGTTTAAGGCCAGTATTGTTATTGATTATGTGATTACGAACTGCAAGGAGTATGGGTTATCAACTGTGATCCTTAGAGGATTTTAATGGTTGTAATTGTGTACAGATCTTGTGTTGTAACCGTACGCTTAAGTGGATGCGTATTGTTATGATTGTAAGTAATATGTCAAAGTTGTTGATTATAGGAATTTGTAAAACGAACATTTTGACGTCAACGAATGATCGCGTGGATGAGAGTCGCGCGTGTGCAGGTAGTGCATAGACGCACAATAACTTATTGATGGCGACGTGAGTCGTATATGACGCAGGCGCGCGCGAAAATAGATGCGCCATCGAACCTTCGATAGTCATGTCTGAGCTTATAGTGAACTTCATTGATGGGAAGAAAAGTTTCCAAAATTTACAAATTTTTGTCGACAAGATGCAGTTGTGCTTACTAATCGACCTAAAGTGATAAAATCACGTTTTTTCGGAGACCATAAGACATATTTCTTAACTTTTTGTCAAGCCGCACATCGTAAATAGCGAAGTGGTTTAGCTTCATACAGTGAGACACGATATTGCCCACAATGTATTGCTGCGTTTAACTGCCACATATGCGTTGGATGGTTTGAAATTTCACTTTCCATTTTCAATTTGTTTGAGGATTTTAGTTTTGTACAAGTTTGAGGTTGAAGTGATGTTTTAGGAAAGTAGTTTGTCCTACTAGGACGATTGAGTTAAGCCATTTCTATAAGTATGTGAATTTGTCGGTTTCCAAACAACATTATCGAAAAGTACGTGGTAACCGAAGAGACTGAATGTCGGGCAGAACGTGTCGATGAACATGGGCTGCTTGCACCGATCATACGAATGCAAGTTTCTAAACTGATTTACCATCTTAATATGGGTATAAAATGACCCTAAGTCCGGAATATCAGTGTAAAATTAAATCTTCTTCATTCTTCATATACGTGGTGGCATCCAAAACAGAATAGTGAACTCATACGAAATGTTACTTTTAGTAAGATATTAGTTGTAAAGAATGATTTTTCACTGGCTACGTGTAGCAGCATGTAAGTGTTGCATGAATTATCCGTTGAACATAAGAGGTATGGTAGAAATGTTCTTGGCGAGAAGAGTGCTGAACGCGATGCGAAATCGTTAAATAGCTGTAGTTTTACTGCAGTATGGTCTGCGTCATCAAAATTATTATGGAGGGGTTACATACCCACATTCATTGATCATAGTAGGGTTCAATAGTCACGGAGTGTTTCTCAATGAGATTCACTATAGAGTATCTTTGGATATGTCACATATGATCAGCTGCTATTCTCATTTACATCTTCACCCTTGGTTTCTGCTAACATTTGCCATGTTGAACATTTCAAATACAACGCTTTTATTCTTTACAATCTACTGACTCTAACATTTACATGTTATACATTTAACCAAGGTTTCTTATACAGATGAATACATTTTGCGCTTTTTCTATACATTTCAGCTCTTTGTAAGGCACAGATTTTACGCGTAGAAAGCACATTTTTTTACGTAGAGCTTCCACATTCACACGAAGGGTCTCTGTAATGTGGCCATAGTCGAAACGTTCTAAAATAACTCTGAATTCAAATTCTAAATCAAGGTCTATCTGAGGTCAACAGCTTTTACTGCTAACTAACCATTTTAACGTGTTAAGTGTAGTTTAGCTACAATTGTAATATTTTAATAGGCGAATGTAGCGTTTTTAATCATAAGAGATGGTCTTCGATTCGATTCTTTTCACTGGTACGTCTAACTGGAAATCCTAAGTACTGTTTGTGCACTTAATAGTTTTGATAGTAATAAATTGATCGAGAAAAAGGAGTGTGTTTTGGTTTTGACAAAGGTTTATGACCAGATCTAAAACTCATTTCGATTTTGGATTTTTACGAATAGAAATCTCTAATTCCCGTGTGCTTTAAAACTCCGGAAATTTGGATTTGAGGGATTCGTCATTCTTTCTGAGCTGCGCCATAATTGTTGAAAGCCTTTTGCAAAAAGTTCATCATTAAATTCGCCTTCGGTTGTGGGGCAGGAACCGTTTTAATGGTCCGCCGCGGTCCCTCATATGAGTGATACGTTCTCGGTTATAGGATATTTTTTTCATATTTAACATTGCAAGGAGGAACTAGAGTTTTTTTGTATAATGAAATGTGGAATAATTTTTGAAAACGGCAACGAAGATTTTCTTCTCGACTTGTGGTCGTCTTTTGCAGTACTGAACTGTAAATCGTTTAAAAATAGCTCAATGTTGAGTGTTTTAAAACCTTTTACGTTGTATAAGACCTTTATCTGTAGGGGCTTTTATTTGGTAGTCATCAGTCGTCGAAAGATGTTCGCGACTACATTTATCTTCCAGGTTCGCGTCCCCATTACAAAGAGTTTTCTGTTTAAAACTGGTCTTAAACAATACGTCAGCGAGTGGTTTTTGTCACCAGCTAAACTCAGTCGGTGGTGTAACTTGTGTTTGCGTTTTACCACCATTAATCTGTTCTGGAATGTATGCATTCATTTCGATATGAGCTTATGGTTGTTAATTAAGGTGAAAACCAATGAGACTTATGGACCTGTTTCGACAAAATACAAGTTGTCTTATCACAAATACAATGGCAAAATTGCAATTTTATATTCTTTTATCGTAAAAGCATATTTATCCTCTTTCGTTTTGTTCAAGCGAGTATCTCGAGCAACAATGCGACTAAACAAGCAGGATACCAAGATGAGATGGGCTCTTCCGAAATATAGTAGTGTTCGCCGTTGTTGTGCTTGCATTGAAATCCTCGTAAATACAAATTTCTCTGTTTGGGAAGTTTTCTTTTCAATGACTGCGGAATTGAGAGAATAGTGTATGAAAGTCATGGGCTCGATTAACGCAATAGAACAAAGTCTTTTACAAATAAGTGTAGTTCTCAACTCCTTACAAACTATTATGATGGCGAAACCACCAGTCGTCGAAAAACCAACACAGTCGCAAATAATGCAACTCGACCATCTGAAATAAAAGCGGGTGAACTTTTTGAAACGCTTCCACAAATCGGTATCTAACGTCTTATAAGATAACACCTCATAAACATAATAAAGAGTAATAAATAAAGCTCTCTGCGTTGATCAATCTCTATGGGATGCGCCATGCATTCCGCTTCATTAAGCATCGTTTGGAGGTGATTGAATGCATATCTGGCCTTCACAGTGACTCGCAGTGGCCTACCGACGTATCAGGCCGGTGATGCTATCCTCCCAGAGAAGTGTGGTACCAATCTGTCTACCCTGGGGAATGGAAGACTTGGTGAGCCATGGACGCGGGGATCGATGCCATGAGTGTGTTGCAAGGCGCCTCCAACCACTGCGCTACACGTACCCTTAGACGTAGTAAACATCTTATTTTCCTACTTAAATTGCTGTCTGTAAAACGTTAGCAATTTGAGGGCCGCCTCTATTGTTTGCAGCTCAGGCTGCCACTATGTAAACTTCAAATACGTCTTAATTCATGACGAATCCTGTTCTTAAAGTTGTTTGGACTAGTTTTTTTTACTCATTACAATGAGAATAACTTATATCTATCTATTTTTGGAAAGAGAACCTTGGCTACTGTACAAAAAGTGATTCTAAGCATGTGGAGCATTTTCCACCCAAAGTAGGTTGTACTGGAGGCGACAATCAATCAGCATCCGTTCTGTATATAAGGGCACCGCCTAATGAAATGAACCATTCGAGCGGTGCACCTCCGCTAAATTCAATTCGATGCGACAACAAATGAATACATCGTAACAACGACCAGCTGTGGATGGACCATCGACACGGATCGATACGATTTTCAAAGAAGATGAAGACATCGAAGCGTTACCGAAATTAAGGTTTCTGTACGTGTCAGTTCAGTCGTGTTGAAAATTATGGTTTATTTATTTATTCACTTATGTTTTTATTTCATTCTACGTGATACATCTTCACACTTATTGTGCTGGCCTGAGCACTTCTTGCATTCGATTCGTTTCCTCGCATTCATAATCCAGGAGGGTCTTCTAACAGAAGCGTGTGGTTTCGGCTTCTGCTTGAGGATTGTGTGCTTCCTTACGAATGTTATTGAATGCTGATTGGATCGACTCTACATGCAGTCCTGGAACAACCGTGCTCGAGTGTTTTCACGTGGATTGGAGAGAGGGAGCTGAACTTAGCCCGAAGCGGAGTAGAACCAGCACTATTCGCATGATGAATTTCACCAATACTACTGGACCGAATGTCCCAGTATGTATGTGTGTTCAATCTTTAGATTGATAGTGTAAAGTCTTCTACACTTTCGTAGAGGTCAAAACTTCCATGACGTACTGCGGTTATTTGCTGGAAAAATGAGCAGCTTTCGAATGATTCTCTTTATGTCGGACAAAGTATTGTTCTATATAGGCAGCAGAGTTTTGATCTAAAAGTATTATAGAAATATTGGAAGTAAATTTATTTGGATAGTTCATGCCCACTTTTGATTTGTCCCAAATTATTACGGAGTATCCTGACTTCCAAAGGGCATGACCATGTCCCACTATTCCGTGCTCCATTCGATGCACTGAGATCAAAACAAAACGTCGTTCACGTTCTAAGTGTCATTCATCTGTCGATATTTTTTCAAGGAAAAATTATCTCTAGTAGATAATAGCTTATGTTTGTTCCAGCGAACCATCTGTTGCACACCCTGTCAATCATAACGATAATGTTGTGGGAATCGCATCAACATCAGATGCGGATGATGGGGAAGTCCTCCCAACAACTCCATCACTATCTCCCGCTATTCAAGCAAACTGGACAAGCCAATTGAAGAACGATCTCGGTATTGGCATAACTAGTCCACCTCGTCAACAACAGTTTACATCTGTTCAATCAATGGCTTCTGCTCCAGGTTAATTTCTAGTAACTACATGAGAGGTGTTTGGTTTCTTTTGCGAAGTTTTGTAATATTGTCAAATTACAGCTGGTGTGGAGTTTGTGACAGCAACGATTCCACCAGGACTCTCCGACTATCACTTTGGATTTGTTGATGGACCACAAGGCGCAGAAATTGCCACGTCAACGTCATCGGTGGTAAACACGTCTTCTGATGTTTTGTTTGCTTCTGGTCGGTCTTCTACAAATACCACAGGTGCTACTGTTCCTCAGAAGCCTAGTGAGGTATGTGGCATATTGCGAGTAGGATTTCATATTAAATTTCTCACAATAATATGCGTAGTGTAACCGAAATTTCCAGGCCGAACGCCCATTAAACGGGGACTTCTCACTGAAAGCTTCGCCACCATTATCACATTCCTATGGACAGCAACAACCTCATAACAGCAGGTCGTTATCATATGCTGATCCGTCCTCTGTATCATACGCTCCACCGACACAACCAGATCGTGGAATGAGCAGTGGAAACAAACCTGCACCAATTCCTCATCCTCCACAACAGTCAGCCGCCCATCAAGCTCCACAGCATATGTTTCCAACGCAAATGCCTTATGGATCATATCCTTACATGAACATGAACATGTACAGTCCGGTGACAGGTGTGCGCGCGGAAGATCAATACGCTGCTTTGTATGCTGCTAGCATGCCGTTTGGAATGGGAGTGGATTTGTCAGCGATTTTGCCACCAACAACTCCTATGTCCCAAGCCAGTGCTAATCAACAACATCCTGGATCTGCGCAACATCGATCAGATACCCACAACCTTGTTGACATGAACAAGTTCACGTCGGGAAATTCCAGGGATGGTAGTGGTCAACAACCGTCCAACATAGCACCTCCACCTGGTTTTGGGAATCCGTCATTTATGCCACAACCAGGATTGTCATCCTTATTTCTTCAGCAGCAATTTCCACCACACCCGTATTCATTTATGATGCCTAATGTTGGTTCCGGACGCCAGATGTATCCACAAGAAGATGATCGCAAATCGTATGATAAGATGGGAGGAGGTAAACAACCGCAAGCAACTCCACAACATTATCACAATGGTGGCTATCTCAACAGTGGCCTCAAGAAGCCCTATAACTGGAATTCTTAACTGGTTGCACATGTTCTCATTCTCTTATAATTGTGTTAATAATAAACATGGTTAACACTACTCATTCTGTTACAGTTTGAAGGAAATTCCGAGAACATTTTTCTATAGCGGTCATTGTTATCCACTTCAAATTTGAATTTATTGCTAGTAAAGGTAATGTCGGCGCCTGTGGTACTAGTAACAGGTGTTACCAGCACTGTTGGTAAAGCAATCGTACGCCGATTGGCGTTTTCTGGCTACAACGTCGCTGCTGCAGATCGATGTTCAGGCGATGTTAGCGAAGTTGCTGCTGATAACAAAAAGGTTTATTTGTGAGTGTATCAGAAATATGATATTATCTTCGGTGGAAGGTCTTCAAAGTTGGTTAAATGCACTGGAAGAATTTAGGAGTTCGAGAAACGTGTGCGGTTGCGTGATTTGCTTAAACGGAATTGGGTTCGGCGTTTCGTAGATGTGTTGGGTAGGAATGACATCGATTGTGGATAAAAGCATAGCAAATCCTGCGTTGCCTTTTAGAGATACGCAATGAATTCGACTCGACTAAGTAACGTTGGGAGTTTGATTGGAACAATGACGATGTGTGTATTGTAAGGCACCTGTTATCAAGGGCAGCTACTGGAGTCCATTTTGGTGAGGGTGTACATAGTGTTGTTCTCGCTGTGCGTACTGAGGACTGTGAAGTCTAAGAGTTGGTGGGGCCAGTGTTCTCTAGCTTCTTTACTACATTCTCGATGTTTTTCTAGGCTTTCGTGTCCTTCCAATTTGGTTTTCCGAATGTGATATGTGGAGCATCCGAAGAGTGGTCTTCAGTTGATTAATTCCGTTTTGTGCGTGTCAGGAAATTTTTGCGCACATAAACATTAAACATCCAAGATCACAGTGGAAGTAAAATCCTTTAGAGTTTAAAGATGCTTTCCAACATAAGGTTTTTCTTGCTACTAAAATTGGATCTTAATCATAGAGACCATGGGTTCCTTTTCTTCCGTTGCTCGTGTTAGGAATAACGAAGTAGTTCAGCAAAAATGACTTTCTTCAGTCGAAAAGATGGCATAGTCACACAATATTGTTGTTATGCTTGTGTTAAAAAACGAACAGAGTTTGAGGTAAAATGAAGGAATTATGCATTTATTGGTAAAGCAATAGGTCGACGGCTTATTCCACAAATCTGTGAAGCTCTCAGTTCTCCCACTGGCTCAAGTATTTTAGTTGTCGAAAAGTACGACCTGGTCACTAGGTTACTGATTAACTCAAGGGTCATTGTATAGGGTCGTTCTGTTCACATGAGGGTTCCTTAACCGCCTGTCTTAACGGAGTTAACGCTGTCATTACGTTGATGGAAGTGAAACCGTGAAAGGTTCTCTAATACAGAACAAGTACAGCAGATAATTGAATTCGATAGTTTCATATCCATTTAGGAAAACAACAGTTAGTTTTAGCGATAGTTATAGATTAGGTGTTGATATTTAGACAACAATGCGATCCTATTGATTGTAACTCCCACGACCAACTTTCTATTAACCTCGGCAGTGATCAAGTAATTCTTCGTATTCATGTTGAGCAAACGCGAGGTGTTATTTCTATTCTTTATTCACGAATAAGCTGACGTTTCGGCGGATTTCGCCTACCTCGGAGCGTGGAAAGGTCAAGTTAACAGCAATCTGTTCGGCCAAACACCTCCATAACCAAACAGAGAAAACGCTAAACCAGGATTTCAATCACATCGAACACAGGTTTGCACACTCACCGCTTTCTATGAGGCTTCCACTAAGTATGTCATGCGGGGACCAACCGCACACAGTTTACATGGAATCGTAATGTGCACGCCCTTCGGAATAACAGGTTTAAATACTGCCCAATATCACGCGTGATAATGAGGCATTCTTCTCTGCGGTTCATTTTCGCATTTCTGGAATTAATTCAGAACGCCTCGAGAGTTTTGCGCGCTTGTGTTCTCGATTCTTGCGCGAGGTTCGTAACCCCAACTTTAAAATCTTCTCCGTTATGTCTCTGCGTCCTATGCGTGCCTACTGGAGTATTTGATTTACGTTTGCCGAGCAGGTGTTCCTTTACATGGAGACCGAGTGGACAACCCGTTTCGCCAACGTATTCTCTCCGCACGCTTTACAAGAGATCAGATAGACTGTACCCGAACTCATGCAATTACCGTCTCTACCCTTAAGGCAAATTATGCAGATTTTCGTTATACAGAGACGGTCATGTAAGCAGTTGCGAACTAGTCGGCGTCATAGAGTGTCGGATGGTGTTTCCATCATTCTTACGGAATTCTCTAGACTGGCCCTTATTAAGCAACGTTTTATAGCTGCACTTATTTCGTTTGAAATAAAGGGCAAGAGGAACGGAGCCTTGTTTTCGCTAGAATTATCGCTCTGGGGCGTGCGTTTTCCTCTATCCCTATGCCGAGAAGCTACAGTTTCGTAACCATTTGGAATGGCTATTTGGCGCGCCAGTTTCGAGTATTCTTCCCTCTGCTCGCTACCTGTGCACACGCTGGCAGTTTGAAACATATTTCTTATAAGCGCCCTTTTAGTACGTGAGGGATGAGAGGAGAGGTAATGAACCACTAAATTCTTGCTGCTTGGCTTTCGATACCATTTTGTGTTGTAGCCGTTCTCGGATAGGTTAATTTGAAGGTTTAGAAATGGAAGCCAGTTTTCTTTCGGTTTCTCACGGGTGAATTTTATGTACTCTGACTGTTCGTTCAATAATTCAAAGCGTTTGTCCATCTCCTCCTGTGTGGAGCAGATGACAAAACAATCGTCTATATACCTACAGTAGAGTAGTGGCCTGAGATCGATTACTGGTGCTTCCACTTTAGACATAAAGGCAACGGCAAGGGTTGGTGCCAGTCGCTGTCCCATTGCCAACCCTCTAATTTGCGCGTAATATTTCCCGGATCATTTGATGATCGAGCAGTTTAAATAGACCTTTAGGAGGACCATAAGCTGCTGAATCCAAAAGCCATACATGTTAATTGCTCCTTCGTGTTGCTCAAGAAGCTCGCAGATGACTTGCAGTGCGAAGTCCTTCGACACGTTAGTGTAAAGGGCGGTAACGTCGAACGACCCCATAAGGTACGCACTCTTGGGACGTGCGTTGCGCAGACGGTTTAGGAACATTTGGGTGTTCGTGAGATAGGCTGGTATGTGCTTAAGCAACTGGCTGAGGATAAGATTTATAAACCAAGCAATTCTATCCGTAGGCCCGTCTACACAGCTGATGGGGTCTAACATTCCGTAGGTCTAACATTAAAGGTGGAGCGGTCAGTAGACGCCAGATCATCAGCGGATTTTAGCTTATGGGCCTTGATAAGTAAGTATAGGACGGGACATGTCGGCACTTCAATCTTAAGATGCGAAATGTCTGCTGGTTTTAAACCTGCCGCGCTTGCCATTTTGATCCATTCGTTGTTCAGTTTTCGATTTTGACTTCTGAATTCCTTTTCAGTAGATGCGCGATGAAGCGATGCGTCTTCAGGATGTTTTTCCGTTATATCGACATCTAACTGGCGAGGAATTACTGCAAACTCTCTACCCTTATCACTAACTGATAGCCTAATAGTCTTTGATTTTATTAGCTCTCGAACCTGTTGCATACCAGATTTTGCGCAGCTGTAATATTCGAACTAAACTTTTTCGCGCGATAGTGGCCAAGGACTTTGAGAGTTTTGCTCGAAAATACACGAAATTTTATATCGACTTCGTCGTTTGGGTCTTCCTGTCTAAAGAATAACTGAAGAAATGGAGGTGGTGGTAGTGCCTCTGCTGCTCGTTGTTCCTTTCTATTTTGTGTCTCAATTCTAGCGTTACTTCGGAGTCGATCTTGGAGCTCGTGCAGGCTGCACGCGATTCTACGCAAGGTTTCTTTAGAAATGGGTTGCGCTGGTGAGAAACTCGGACCCAATTCTAATAGCGAGCGCGCATCATCAGGCAGAGTTATGCCTCCTAACACGGTGACCCTTGACTTTTCAGACACGTTATCGACCACATTTTT